TGAGAACCGGCCCCGCCGGCCCATGAGGAGGCCGCGGCGGCCGCTGCCTGCCAGGGCCCTGCGCTGCCCGGCGGCGTCTCCGCGAGGCCTCCACAGCGTGTTTCTAGCGAGGCCCCGGGAGGGTTTTGCTCCTTTCTGCGCCTACTGCAAACTTTCTCTCTCCCGATAAGTTGGAGTAGCACTGGCGAGCGCGGCCCTAGGCCTGCTACCCCTGCAGCCACCTCAGCCGCGGCCTAGTAGAGGTGAGGCTGCTACGTGCAGCGACATCTTGCCCGGCTTTAGAGTAATTTTGCTGTGTTCTGGAGTGCTCCTTCTCTACCTTCTTCGGTGCTACAAAATTTCTTTTAAGAAATGTGCTCATCATATATTAAAGTGATCGGGTGGTGTTGCCTCCTTTATCTTTTATTGCACTTTAAAGTCATCCTCAGGGTCTTGCGTGGTGGTGGGGAGAGGCCGTGGCTGCTTTTGTCAGCTAACAGGTGCTAATGTGCTAAATAAACCACCTAAGACTGGTATAAATTACTCTGGAGCTGTTGCCAGGCTGCATACATTACTTGTATACACAGAGCCTCTGCGTTTATGGCAAACAGTTCACTTCTGAAGGACAATTCAAGGAAATAATAGCAAAAGGGCGTTTTGTGGACAAATGCATATTTTATGCTGTGCAGCATGTTGTCTGGTGCAACTTTGTATATTAAATGACTCTGGTCACACCACGCTTCAGGAGGGAAAAAATGGCAGAACCCCTTAAAACTTAATTTGGGTGTTTTAATTGAGTTATATTTTGCTTGGCTTCATTGTAGAGAATTATGTATGAAAATCTTGGACTTTCTGAAAGATGTTGTCTGAAATGAGCATATGTTGGCCGGCACCTGGGCAGTCGTAAAATCCATGGAGATACATATTTTGTTTAACCTGGTAAATATGTCTTGGTACCTTTTTCAGGTTCACTACTGTTAGAGTCGAAGATAAATCCAAATACTGCATATCAAAAACAACAGGCAAGTATTACTAAGCTTTTTTATTCTTTTATTTATTGACAATGAGACATTGTTCAGTGCTCAAACTAACTGTGATTTCCAGGAAAAGGCAAAATAGTGTCACGTGCAGTTGGTGGTGCTGCTTTCCACAGAGGTGAAAAACTAACTCAGAAGCCAAGCTCAGATGCCAAGCTGTCTACATTCTAGAAATTTAAATTCTTCTCCTAAGAATGTTTTCGGACCTCAGGTTTCAATGAGAGTGTATGCAACTGGATAAGAGTCATATATGTGTAATTTTGTCTCTCACCCCGGATTTTGTGAAATAATTACCTGTTAGGAAGGGAAAATTTTGTCCCAACTATTTTCCAATATATATGTTTCTATAGTGTTTTTTTTTTCTTTCTCTCTCTCTCTCTCTCTCTTTTTTTTTTTTTTTTTTTTTACATAATCCCAAGGAACTTTTTTTTCTGGGTTTTTTTTTTTTTTTTTTTTTACATAATCCCAAGGAACTTTTTTTTCTGGGATTTTTCTTTTTCTTTTTCTCTTCCCCCCCCCCCCCCACATGTTTTTTTTTCCGTTTTAAGCCTGGAAAACTTATACTCTTCAGTAAAATTACTAGCCATGATGAGCCTTTATTACTTGTACAGTTGCTTTTCCTGGGGGTAAGCCTTCTACAAACTAGTGAAGTGAAAGAGTTGAGAGCTACATTAATAGGTAAATTTTGTTAAGCCACTAAAAACTTAGCTTCCTAAATCTTTCTTGCTTTTATCACTTTCTTTCTTTTTCTGCATTCATTTTTGATGTGTCTGTCTACATCGTTTCCATGACTTACTGCTGCTGTTTTTTTTTTTTTTTTTAAACTTTCCGTTCTGTGCAGTAAGATTCCCTGTTGTTGTTTTTGCTTAGAATTTTATACTGTTTTTTTATCGCTGTAATATCCAGGGCTCTATCATCACTGGAAAACAATCACATTAATCCTAAATCATGAACAGACGAATCTCAAAAAATTTTGTTTGTTTTTTCATTCAATAGAAGATTTAGCTCTGAACACAGATTGGTTGGCTTTAGTTTAGGAGGGAATCTTAAAGTCTTGGGCTTACCTTTTCAGAAGGCTCTGTTACCTGTAGTTTGTATATTTTCACTCATTATATACTGGTGTATCTAGCCAACAAGATAATGGTCATTCATGTAGTTTGGTAGGCTCTGCTTGGCCTGGCTAGGCTGAGGAAAGAGAGCTTTTATGAAAGCTTTGTGGGGTTATGAAAGTCACAAGGCTTGATCTGCTTCCTGTTTGCAGAGGGAATTAATACATAATGAAATACAAATGCAGATTATTTTGCTGAAAAGTTAAATTGCTTCCTTTTATAGTCATGGAGTTTTTTTGTTTTTTAATTACCTATTACTGCTTCTTATTTGAGAGTCTTTACTTAAATGGCAGCAAAGTTTAAGATAACCAAAAGAACTTTGTTTCTCCTTTTCTGTTTTGGAGAAGTCTTTCTAGGCTGCAATTTTAAGAAGCTCATTTCAGTTCGAAGTTGATTTTGGTTGGCTTTTATTAGTGATTCTTATGCTTTTGTATTCTTATGGCAGAAGGCTTGCTTTGCTTTTCACTGTTTTGAAAAAGTTTGGTTTTGCTTGTTGATGAGGAAGAATTGCGGATTAACTTCAGCCGCAGTTCTGGATTTGTCTGATCCCTGAAATTTTACTGATTTTAGTTGCTAGTGCTTTGTTCTCAACTTCTGTGTGCTTTGTTGTGAGCACCAAATAGCAAAGAATGGAATTTGGCTGTCTGCTCTTAGTTTTTGAGTTTTGGTCTGTGCTTTCAAAGATTGCAGTGTTGAAACCTGGATGTTTCAGGAGCAGGTGCTGTTTAGAAATAGTAGAAAGAATTAGGAAAAGTATTTTAGTATGCCTAAATTTTGAATGTTGAAGTAGCCTATAGCTAAGTAACTAGAAGACTCAAAGGCCATATGAATCTGCCAAGGAGAGATGTTTTTAGAATGGCCTTATGGGGAAAGTTCTTTCTTTCAGAATTCTGCTCCCACTTTTCATTATGGTGCTGATCTCTGTTGGACTTGGAAAAAGCCACAAGATGGTGCAGTAGGCTGTAAAGGAAACACATCCTGTCTACACTTAAGACCTAAACCATCCTAAGATCCATTGTCTTAAAAACTACCTGAATGGCCTAAAGGATAGCTAACACATATATTATGATTTTCATACCCATCATCCTGGGGGGTGGTGGGGGAAGGGAAAGTGTGTTTATTAATTACTTTGCATCGGTATGTCATTCCTAATATTACACTTCGTGCTGCGTTCTGTGTTCAGCAGTTTTCAGATAAAACATGTAAGCAGTTTTAAGGTTACCCAGACCTTGTTCATCCCCATCAATGAATGATTATCCATTTTATTGGGCAGCGTCTTTCTGTGGCCTGTTGATTGTTCAATTAATATCTGTCAGATCTGGCAGAAGTCTTGAAGTAATAGTCTGTTCCCTCCTGCACCAGAATGGGCTCTAGCCAGGAGGTTAGGAGACTTTCTAGAGTCACGGAACAGCAGCGTCTGAAACCTTGTAGCTTTATGAACATGCACAACTTCTAGGGCTATGTTCTAGGTGTTGATTAACCGTTTCATAAACAGGGCATACCTGTGTTATGATTGCCCTCTTCAGTCGTGTTTGTGCTCACTGGTTTATGTGTAGTATTCAGGGTGTTAGGTGTATTATAATCATGACCTCTTTCACAAAAGAAACAGGATTTAAACTGGACATAGGTGCCGGGCTGCTCATTGTGCCACATAAAAGTATATCTAATTTTATGTATGCAAATAACATTAGACACATGGAGAGCTTTGGTTCCACCTGGATTTTGGACATAGCTGATGAGAGTTGTGTACCTCCCCTGGATGCCCCATGTTTACCAGTGGGCTTGGTCAGGTGAGTTGAGGAAGGACTGAAGGAACAGTTTCAAAAGCTGTTGCCACACCTTATGTTCCACCTTCTGCTTGAGGTTGCTGTTCCCCAGCTAACCTGGCAGGGAGTAATGAAAGGGATGCAGGTGTGCACTGTATTCCTGCAGCTCACTTATGGGAGTGATGATCTAGTCATGTGGCCCAAAGACTGAACTGCTACAGAAATTCTTACTTTGGTCACCATCCTATGATGCAAAGTCTCCTTTAGGTACTCTATGTACATTTGTAGATTTAAGATGAAGGATGTGTGCAAATACTGTCCACGGTGCCATCATTCCTGTGACAGAAGAGCAATCTGCTTCAGGCAAAATGATCAGTTTGTTTAAAGTGCAGTTTAATGTGTTTCCTGGGTGCTGTTAAAGCCAGCGTGAGCAGTTGCCATGAGGCACTTTTGGTACTTTGGTAAGCAGGTAGTCTCTTGAACCAGCTGTCTGGAAGATGGCCGTGTGTGATCTTCTTGGCTTGCCTTGGCTTGTACTGGAAGTGAACTAAATTTTATATTGCATGATTACTTTCTAATGAAATTATTTTCAATAAAGATAGTTAATAGACAAAATCTTGGCTGTGAATGGAAGCATTTGAAAGGGAGCAGGAAGGATCCTGATTGTTCAGCAGTGTGCATGCTCATCAGTACTCAAAGAGAAATTACAGGTACTGATGTGGGCAGTATGGGTTATAAAAAGTAAGCCTTGAATTCTCACAGATTTTTCTAGGTTTAAAGCTGCTGCTTGCGAACATTTGAGTCACTGCAGTGTACCTGTTATTTAAGTCACTCAGGGCTATGACTTTTTCATATATGAATCCATCTTTGTTTGGATTCGTGTTACCGTGGAATCATGTTGACATTACAAGTGTTATACATGTCAGTGATTTCATAGATCATGCTCTGCTCTTAAAATTTAGAATTTCAGGTTCTAAAACTGCCATGAAATGATATTTAAGAATTCGTATTTTGGACTAATCTGTAAGAGATGGGAGCTGTTAAGTAGGGAATTGTATGGGGGGAAAAATAAGCTGATGCTGCTAATTCATATTCTGTTTTTTAAAATATTTGTGAACTTTGTTTAAACTTCCATTGACAGATTTTTGTGTTGTCCTGTTGTAGAGAAAAACACCTTCAAATGGTAGTAAACACAGGCACCCTTCAGTGAATTTTTTCTTTACTGAAGAAGATGAAGTGCTTTGCTTAAAAGCCTATTTCAAAATAGAATTTAACTATTTAAAAACCTGCGTGTTTTATTTCTTCACTTGCTCTTTTTGCAAATGAGTACTTTCAGTGAGACAAAGGAATCACTTCAGAGCCCAGTGTCCTCTGTTTCTGTATTTCATTTCTGTGCTGTTCACTTTGAACCAGATCAGGAAGGTAATCAGACCTTTCATTTCTTGCACGTTACAGTATAGAGAGATATAAACAGATCGTACTGTAAACTGCAAGGACTGTGTATATGTGTGTGTGTGTGTGTATATTGATTATTATTATCCCCTCCTATTGCCCCAAGCCTAGCTCAACTGCTCACTCTAAAATGGCACGCTGTAAACCTAAGTGATTCAGCTGTCCATGAGTCAAAGATGAGGATGGACAGCTGTAAGCAATAACCTTGTCAGCTATAGGAAGCTGTACCATTTGTGCATGTGAATCAGAGCCCAAAAGCAGAGAGACTGCCTAATAACACTTGTGACTGTAGGACAAAAGTGTGCGTATAGTGTGTGATGCTCTGGTATAAACAACTCTCATGCATAGCAGGTAAGACCACAGTGCGATGAGTCCAGTCCTTTCTGTAAAAGGAAAACTGTCTCTTCAAGTGTAAAAAATTAGAAAATTTAAATGAAAATGAGCTTGTGTAAATCAAATGCTGTTGCTTAGTGTAGCTGGTGATTCTCTTCATCTGGAAGAAGGAAGCTGACCTAGTGATAGGTATTTGTCAGCAGTTGTTGCCATGAGAAAAAACATTATGGTAAACAAAAACAATCACAGCTACAGGAACTACATACTGTTGTTGAGAGGTTAGGATTATTTTAGAAACAAATAAGAATTAATAGCATATGCGAGTACTTATTTTAGTAGCTGGTAAGTTGTGTTTGCTGAGGGTATAGAGGTGCATATTTTTCAGATAGCTGTGCGGACAGCAGAGTTTACTTTCTACTGTCCCACTCCAGTTGTTTGTCAGCATTCCTGTGCATCTTGCATCTGCCAGTGGAAATACTGGCAAGTGTTCCCTAACCTGCTTAAGCCTGGATAACTGGGCTAAAGATCTGTTTAAACTATCTAAACTAACCTGATTTTCGTTGAAAAGGGTTCAACAAAGCTGACTAAGGCAGCAGGCTCACAAGCAGAGAGGATCACTTGTGTGAGGCAGTAATCTCTTCTGTAGAGAACAAGATTTTGAAGAGACTCTTCCCACTCTGTTAGCCTATACTTTTGTTCTAGTTGACTCAAATTAATAGTTTCCCCAATCTCAATTGATGAACATAATGTATATAGACAAAGGTGGGGTCTGAGTACTACTAGAACACAAGTACTGTTTTAACACAGGCAAAAACTACATTGTAAAACCAACTTCTTGAAGAGAGTACAGCTAAAGAATGGAAAAACATTAATTACACTTGTATTCCTGTGTCTTAGAAGGATGTATTAAGAATGATAACTAGATAGTTCTTACAATGCCAAGTCATGTGTTCATCTTTAGTGTAGTGAATGGGTCTTAGACGGTAACCAGCATCATCATTTCCTACCATTTGTTCCACAAAGGGAGCCAAAAAAAGCCCTGGGGATAAAGAGGTGAGAGAGGTAACAGCAGTCTCTCTTGCTTCCTGCAGAGAGTTTCCTCAAATATATCAGGTGCCCATAAGACAACCAGATACGTGCTTGGGTTTGCTTCTTGAGCTTACTTGCATCATAATTCGTTTTTGACCAAAGTGATGCATGAGGTAAAGAATAAATGCTCGTAATCCTTTCTAAGTTGTGTAGTGAGTATCGACCTTTGCAAATTTGGAAGTAAATTAGCTTATTGGCAATTAAGGAAAGGCTTGTTGGTGTTGCAAAATTTTCTGTAACAGCTCAAGGACTTGCAAACTTAACAGAGAATGAACCATTTTGCTGGAGCTGTTGAAATGTACTGTAAAGTTAGCAGAGAGCAGCTCACCTTGAACATATCAAGATGAAGATTAGCTTCTTGTAGGATGCTAAGGTTTGCATTCGAATGTTGAAGCACAGGCAGGCATTCGTATCTGCCAACTCTGTTACAAACTGGTAGTTTAAAAATTTCAAATATACTATAATATTCTGCTGGCCTGAGTTTAGCTGTATTCTTTCAACTCTTCTGTGCAGTTATCCTTATTCAGTGTGTATGAATTACCTAAATGATGAAAAATGATCTTATTTTGAAGTAAGAAAATCTGTTTTAATAGTGTCATATAAGTAGAATAAGTCGAAAATTATGTTTTAGAAAAATTGGTAAAAGGAAACATGTAACTTAGAGCATCAAGTGCCATATTAGAACTGTGCCTTTCAGGCAAATATTAAACTGGTCTGAAAAGTTCTGTCTATCATTAAGACTGAGCATACTTTTGGAAGCCATATAGAGTTGTCAAATTCTGTTTGTCCTCCTCACCTTGAATCATTGCAGGAGAGAAACTCTCAGGGTGCCTTTCATGCTTCTACAGTTATTTTTTTTCTTCTGTGTATATATAGTTGTGTAGTGCCCTAATCTTACTGATAATCTATTCAAAAAAAAGTTGATGTACTTTCTGAATTTGCTGTTGTTAGAAAAGTTTATTTATTTTCCTGCTCTTCAGAGCTGCAAGATGCCAAACAAAAGTATTCACCATTCTAATATTGAAATCAACCAATTTGAGCGATAATAAAGTAGCTGACAATCTTGCAATAAGAAATGACGGAATTACTTGTAGAAAACTTCAGTGTTATAAATAACTGCTATAATTTATTTTAGTCTGTTCAGAAATTTTGAAGTATCTCCCAGATTTATTGTGCAGACGCACAGATGGAATGAGTAGAGGCAATAATAATGAAGCAAAAGATTTTTTTCTTTAGTGAAAGTAGTTCTTGGCAAGATATTTGTAACTTCAGTAGTAACTTGCAAATTCAATATTATGCAAACTGTATTTATTTTAATCCAGCAAAACTATTTTAAGCATTTGGATTTGTGATATATTATTTCTCAAATGGTTAGACTTCTACTAAGCTCCTTCTGAGAGGCAAACAAGATAATTGTGTATTTTTGTCTATATGTTAGGTATGGAAAAATAATTTTTTACATTGCAATTTTCCAATGTCTTGTGGTATGTGCATTCCGCTTTTAAGATTCATGGCTCAGAAGTATGTTGCAGAAAAAGTGTTTAAGTGTTTTTGGATATATCTTAAAAATAATGAAAAAAGAGAGATTTAGTAGCAGACATGCAGTAGCAATTAGTAGCAGGCAATGTCTCTTATGGGATCAGTAGTTGAGTATTATTTAGTATTTCAGAAGATTATGTTATTTCTTGACAAATATAAAAATAATTGCAGTAATTCCTTGTCTAGATGCGTGATTTAATAGAATATGGATGAATATGCAATGTTGATGTAGTATATTTCAGAAATTAATATTTTTCTTATGTTTTAAACAGGATACCTTGATTGTTTGGTCAGAAGCAGAGAATTATGATCTAGCACTGAGTTTTCAAGAAAAAGCTGGCTGTGATGAAATTTGGGAAAAAATCTGCCAGGTACAGCTACTTCCCCCCCTCCCGCCCCGAATACTTTACTATGTTCTTGGCATTATTTTTTTCTGTGAATCTTGAGACTGGATTGGTAAAGGGAATTAAAAGTATAAGATTTATGAGGAGATTGGGGAAAGAAATCAGAGCAGCAGGAAAAGGAGTCAGAGCAGCAGACAAAGCAAAGGAAGGTGCAGGGCAGGAGACAATAGCTTCTCTCTCTTCCTGTTCAAGTTTGGCATCCATGGCATCCTGCCTTTGTATTTAGTCATTTGATTATGTTTCACTTAATATTGCTATAGCTGTGGGCTCTTACTGTGGGTTGAAGTCCTCATACCCCTCTGATTGAGACACTGAAAGAAGATTTTTGTTATGCCCTTCTGTTTTTGTATGCGTATATATATATTTTTTTTTAGCATACTACTGAGAGTATTGGTGAAATGCTTAAATCTTACATGTACCAGGCGTACCTACTACATGGCTAGATACTTTCTAGCCAGCAGAGAGCATAAAGGTGCTGATGCAAATACCACTTAAGTTATCAATTTGTTTATTCCTATGTGTATTTTGGGATGAGACATAACTGTGCGTACTTTCTTCTTAGGTTCAAGGTAAGGATCCTTCAGTGGAAGTCACACAGGACCTTATTGAGTCAGAAGAGGAGCACATAGAAGAAATGCCTGAAACCAGTCCTTTAATCGACCTTCCTGCTTGTGAACTCAACAAACTTGAAGAGATTGCTGACCTAGTTACCTCTGTTCTCTCCTCGCCCATCCGTAGAGAAAAGTTAGCACTGGCCTTAGAGAATGAGGGCTACATTAAAAAACTCTTGCAACTTTTCCAAGTCTGTGAGAATTTAGAGAACACAGAAGGCTTACATCATTTGTATGAAATTATCAGAGGAATTTTGTTCCTCAATAAAGCAACTCTGTTTGAGGTGATGTTTTCTGATGAGTGTATTATGGATGTTGTTGGATGCCTTGAGTATGATCCTTCTTTGGCTCAGCCAAAACGGCACAGGGAGTTCTTGACCAAAACAGCAAAATTTAAGGAGGTTATTCCTATAACAGACTCTGAACTCAGGCAAAAAATCCACCAGACTTACAGGGTACAGTATATACAGGACATCATCTTGCCGACACCATCTGTTTTTGAAGAGAATTTTCTTTCTACCCTCACTTCCTTTATTTTCTTCAACAAGGTTGAGATTGTCAGTATGTTGCAGGTAAGTGGTTTTTAATATGGTATAGATGGATTATGTATAGATACTTCTAGCTCTAGCTTTGAAATTGATTACAGCTTTTTAGCATAACGTAAGTTAATCATGTACATTTTGATTCATTTGCATTGTCTTTTGAAAGGTTTCCCTGATTTCTGGTATCTTGTTTTTGACTTAAAAATATTTCGTTAGATTTTGTGTATGCATATTAATATTTTAAAGATGGAATGTACATAGCTAAAGACTCCTCTCCTTGATTCTGAATCAACAGTATGCATTTTGAGAAGATTCACAAAGATACTTAGGCAACAAGTAATTTCTTGTATTGTATCTCAGCTGACATTGTGACATCTTTATAACGATTGTGAAGTCTGTGATTCAACTGAGTATGTTCAGAACATTTATATTACTGCTGTTCTTTTCTGGTTCTGAGTTCAAATGTTGTGGTATAAAGTAATTAGTTTGCTTCCTATTAGTATCTGAAAATGGTATTTAATAAATGACAAAATTGTTACTGTCTCAAGGACTTGAGAAACTTACTGAGCACTTTAAAGTGTACAAGCCTTAAAGTAACTGATATGACCACCAAGCTGGACTATAGAAAGAAGCTTTGTAAAGAGTTGCATTTCATGATATTTGGGCTATTCTCTGTTCAGTTCTTACTGTATTATGAATGTTAATGGATTCCTACATGGTTTATTCTGTTTCTGACCCTTTTCTTTTGAAAAACGGTAGATTTGTGTATAAAAGAGCTTTGCTAAACTGTCAGTTTGGGACATGGATAGTCCATGAAATAGGAAGATGTATCAGGGAGAAGAGAGCAGTAAAGTAGTGGAAAGAGGGAGGCATTGGAGAAATGATAATACAGCAAGGAATATTTTTAAGGAATGGAGTAGGAGAAAGGAAAAAAAAGCAAACCTTTACAAAATTAAAAAGAGAATTACTTTGCTTACTGTACTTGGATGAGCTTTTATGTTTCTTTCTACCTTGTTTGAATAGAATAGCAGGAAAAAAAAATTAAATCCTAATGGCAAAATTAAATACTGGGTATTAAATAAGTATTTCCCATTTTACTTTCTTTTTTTTTTTTTTTGCTTTTCCATTTGGATTGTATGGTACTGAATATTTACTTGTACCTTTTAAAATGTAACCGTGTGTGAAACTGTGGTTTCCTGATTAATTCAGACCCCTGCTACTCTTTGGAGGAAATGGTGCAATCTTGTGTTGCCTTTGTGCTATCATTAGTCACTACCATCTTCATAGTAGAGTAGAAAAAGTAGGTGGTGCATAGGATGCTTTATCTCTTTCTAAAGATGGTAATTGGGACATAAAAGTTGATTTCCAATTGGTATTGATATTGCTACAGCAGTTGACCTCTCCTCAGAATTACAAGCTAAGATGATGATAAATGGGGAAGAGATCTTCCTATGTAGCATGCTTGAGGAAAAGGAATTGCTCATACGCAGCTGGGCTCCAAAGGACTCTGTTTACAACTCTCTGATGAAAATCAACTCTTATCATGTGGCAAAAGAACCATAAAGCTCTTTTGAATAGTTTGAAAAAATGGGAAGTCTTGTTCCGCTCGTACACTGGCAGGGCTCCCTAGGAGCGTGCAGTTTGTAGGAATAAACGATTGCCTTTGCTACTCCAGTAAAGGTCCTGTCTAAGCAATGCGAAGCAGTAGACCCTCGTGCCGCTATAGGCGCATGGCAGCCACGTGGGGAACTGAGGGAAGGGGAAAAACAAATCTGGGCCATGCTTTAGGGCCTCGGCATGAGGACTACCCTCGGCAGCCGTATACGAGCAAGAGTCCTTCTCTTGCCAAGTATTCTGTGCTGGGGATTTTCTAGCTGATCTGTTATTGATTGTGATACTTTTTTTTTTTTTTTTTTTAAACAGGCTTAAGCTGTTAAGCCAAAGCCAGCAAAGCTTAGAATAGACTGCTAAGTCTCTGCAAGTTGCACACTCTCTGTTGTTGATTCCGGGGTTTTCTTTCTTTTTTTTTTTTTTTTTGTGGTCTTTTCGTTTGTTTTCGCAAAACGTTGTTTTCCAGCTGTCCTAAAATTTTCAGGAGAAAAAAAATGTTGTGACATTCCCATAACTAACAATTCTGTACTACGTGAACCTAATGAAACTCATACATTTTAGTGACAGGACATAGAAAAATGTAGAAATAAGAGCTAGCTACATTTCCTTATATAATATTTCTGTGTATTTTTTGGAATGCTTCTAGTTCTGTTCATGTTTGTTCAATAAGTAAAGTTCATAGAGTTAAATCAGTATAGTGTTGGATGATTTTGTAATGTTGGAGGATAATGAAGCAGTTTAAGATTTGTGTTGTATTTGGAAGATAATAAAGGGACATTCTGATAGAATGTCAACACTATTTTTTCCATGCGAAGGAGTACAGAGAAAGCAATGTGTAAAGAAGGTGGGAAAAGTCCCAACTGTTGAGAGATGTTCTTGTTCACCTTGATTTTCTTTGAGTTGTAAGCAACAGTGTAACTGAAATGTTTAACCAGAAGTGAACTGTTGACTTGCATGTTTAAAAACAAATCTCTCCTGATAGGGATGGGGGGGGGTCTCACTGTGAAAAGCAAATAACAATGAAAAAGCCTTTCAAGAGGGGAAAAAATGAGCTTTCTGCAAGTGTGGGAGCCTTGTTTAATGAGAATGAAATTAACGGGGGAAGCGTGTGCAGCAAGCTGGTGATGTGTCAGTATAGGTACACTGCCAAAATGTTGGCAATACTGCAGATCCAAAATAGGGTAACTTGATACGTGCTCTGATGCGAAGTGCAGAGTGTTAACAGCATAGATAACAGCATGCTAAAAATTGCACCTTGAGTGGCAATGCCTGCTGTAGACTTACATAGATTGCCTGCCCATTGGGTTACATGCATGGTGTAGGGAGGAAGCCTGGATCAAAGATTGTAATTTTCTTCTGTTTTGGTATGTGAATGTGCCTGGGAGACCATGCAGTGAGTAAAGTGGGTAGGGCAGGATGTTAAAACGCGGCAAGTGGCATGGCGGAGAACAAAAGGAAACCACAAGTTCTTCTGAGGTTAGCCCTTTAAAAAGCAGATCTAATAATCATCATCTGTCCTCAGCTTGCTATGTGATTTTGATCTCCTAGACTTATTTCTGAGATATGGTATGAGTATAATGACAGTGCGTTGGAAATTATGCCTCTGAATACGTATACTTCATTTCCCTTTTTTTGCAGTGAAATGTCAGTGTATGAAAAATAGCTTATCTCCCAAATCCACTAATGGGTGTATTTTTGTTTCTAAGGGATAAGTAAGTAGCTAACCATAACATGGACTTTATATAGTTTTTGAGCATTTTATCTCTTAAGATGTCTTGTGTAAGTTGTATTCTTACATGTGTTATGCAGGAAGACGAGAAATTTTTGTCCGAAGTTTTTGCACAGTTAACAGATGAGGCTACAGATGATGATAAACGATGTGAACTGGTAAGACGTTGGGCTTGGTAGTTCTTGCAACTAAGGATTATCAATAGTCCGTTAGTGTAAATATGTTGGAAATATCTATCCCTGGATATGTTTATGTGCTTAGGGTAAACAATTTTGTTAAAATCTAGACTTGCTGTCAGTGGAGGAAATATCTCTTTTATTTTATTGTCTTTTGAAAGAAGGCATGCCAAACAGAACTATAAATCCTTCATATGCCACAAGTGATACAATAGCTAAAAGTGTGTTTTTTTTTTTTTTTTGTTTTGGTTTGTTTTTTTTTGCTTGCTTAGTTGTTGTTTGTTGTGATAATAAACAGTCATCTTTGAGACTTGTTACTTTGCCAAATTTCTTTCAAGGTCATTAAAGAAAAGATACCCGGTTGTTCAGCTGTATCTTTCTCTCGTGCAAAGTATGAATGTTGTTTGAGATGAGTCTTAATTTTCACTCTGACTTGAGTTCTATATAGACATGAGTATACTCTGTAACTCAAGTTACACAAACATGTAATTTTGATTACCAGAAAGACAAACTGTTTTCTTGGTGGTTAACTATCCTGATTATACTCATGTCTTCCTGGTTTTGTTTTACCACTGTTACCACAGAATCACCATTTTCTTCAAGTTTTGTTAATAATTCATTCTTTTCTGTATCAAAAGTATCTTATACTGCTTTTTTTTTTCCTTATGTGATAGGTTAACTTTTTCAAGGAATTCTGTGCATTTTCTCAGACATTACAACCTCAGAACAGAGATGCATTTTTCAAAACACTAGCAAAATTGGGAATCCTTCCTGCTCTTGAAATTGTAATGGTAAGTGAAAACTTAAAGCTGTTTTATTCTTAAAACAAACACACACAGAAAACCCAAACATGACCTCCTAGCCATTTGGTTTAGAAATGGTAGGCATCTTTATTTCTAAATTTCATTGGGCAGCTTTGCTGTTCTGAAAATTGAAGCTTTAGTGTAAAGTTCAGAATTCAAAAGAAATTCACATTTTTTTAAAGCAGCTGAATTAATATATTTATATAACTTTGTATTTTTTCATGTAACTTCTTAGTTTTTGGAATAATACCAAGGAAATGTTTTTTTTGTACTGTTACTTTGTTCCTATTCTGAAAGATCATGTAATTCTGTCTTTCCAGTGGTATGAAGCAAATTATCTTATGCCACAATGCTGAAGCATACTTTTTATCACTCCTTCAGTTGAAAGTAGCTGCTAATGCTTTTTATATCATCACCATTGTTGCTTAGAAAATATAATTATTATTTTTATGTCTTAGAGTAACAATCTGACAAGTTAACAGTTAGATGTTGACTGCTAAGAAAGCCCTGTAGTAATATAGATGTTAAATGACAAGATGAATCCTAATTTAATGACTTTTTTCCAGGGCTAGACTAGTGGGAATCTTTCCTGTCCCATTTGTGTTTTTTTAAGGCTTAAGATTATGCAGTTATCAGAAAGAAAAATTACATGCCATAAGAAAAATGCCGCCTTATTGCCTGTGAATGAGCGTAGAAACAGTTGTACGTACCTGCAATTAATTTTCAGTTGGTTCTTTTGCACAAATCTAAATTGTGGAAAAGGGGTACTGAATATCAGCATCTCAAGTGTTCTGTCTGCTTGTAGCATGTCAACTTTTTCTTGCCTAAGTCGTAGCTATCAAATTTACAGGAATTCTTGCATTCTTTTGAGGGGAAGAGCAATAGTGGTGAAAAGATTTTACTCTATTTTATTCCTTTTTTTCTCCGTGTTGCTGTGTCTGTGCTAGATTTTTTTGTTGTTGTTGTATAGTACTATATATAATGTTCTCAAATACCTCTCTGATTCTTTGCAGCTGTACCTGGAATGGTTTATCTGTAATAAATTGATCTCATTTTTATTAGGGATTGGACGATTTGCAAGTTAGATCTGCTGCTACAGATATATTTTCTTATCTGGTAGAGTTTAGTCCATCTATGGTCCGAGAATTTGTAATGCAAGAGGCCCAACAGAGTGATGATGTGAGTAAAAGCATTTTCGAGTGTATTTAGTATTCCACTTCTGCAGCCTTGTGTCTAATGGGTTTGTTTGTTTGTTTGCAGGATATCCTCCTCATCAATGTGGTCATTGAGCAGATGATCTGCGATACTGATCCTGAGCTTGGGGGAGCTGTTCAGTTAATGGGGCTCTTACGTACTCTGATAGATCCAGAGAATATGTTGGCCACAGCTAATGTAAGAAAATGCAAAGGGGTAAAGACACTTTACTGTCTCAGCAAAATTAAAAGCCTGATACTCTCTCCTGATCTTATTGTGGTAGGGGGGAATAGGAAAAGAGATATATTTTTTTTAAATACTATCATTTTTTGGTCCAGTATTGAATTTCATCAAGCTAAAAAATAAATGGAAACTTGTATTAGCGGTATAATAAGGGTATATAAGCAGTGTAGTAAGGGCTAATAAGCAGTATGTCTTTGGGTGTTGTGCAAGTGTTTGTTAAAATGAGAAGTCTTGTGCTTCAGTGAAATAGTAGTCGCCTAGTAGTAACTTCTGCTAGCTGGATAATAGATGCTGAAATGTAGAGAGAGACCCAGAGGGCTTTCTTGGAAACCAAGTCAGTGTTTTAATACTAATGGTACAATAAAGGTGCAACATTGTTGAAATAGTCCAATACGAGGAAAATATTTGTGTTCTTGTAAAATTCCAAATTATATGCGTTTACAGATGTCAAAGAGAAAGCAGAATATTTCTTGACACTGGCATTTGAAACTTTGTTGATCATTCCTTTCCCTTAACTGCTGTCATACTGAATTCAGACTTTTTCAAGAGAAAATTATTGTGTGTCCATTACCTTTTCAATGTTGTACCACGTGTACCACTATTTATTAACTTCTTTAAATAAGGCTTTTTGAATTGTTATTAGTGCTTTCAGTGTTTAATGCATACTATACTAGAGGAAAAAATATTGTAAACCTGCTTGCATATTAATATGTATGTACTGTGTAGCAAGATGGCAAGATGATAGTCTAGTGTAAATATTTGCAGGTTATATGGGTAAAATTACTGCCTTTACCTTTCAAAGTGGTCTAAACAAACCTTGTGAAGTTCTTTGATCAGACACTTCTGTCTCTTCAATATATATTTGCATCTGCTTTTTGGGGGGTGGGGTGGAGGGGCGGAAATAGTTAAGCTGGTTTGTCTCGGAGATCTGCTATTTGTTCAATTCAGTAAATATATCTTATACCAGTGAAGTCAAAGAATGCTATAGGTCCAGCCAGATAGATAGATGTAGATCTAAGGAAGTCACTTAAGATTCTTTGAAGGCTTCTATGATATTGCTGCTCCTTATTTAAAACAATACATGCAAATATTGGTATTTAATAAAAGTTATATTTGTTTTAGAAAACAGAAAAAAGTGAATTTCTCAATTTCTTCTACAACCATTGTATGCATGTTCTTACTGCACCGCTTCTGGCTAATACATCAGAAGATAAATGTGAAAAAGGTAAGGTTATATATATATACTTTATCTTGTAATATTTTCAGCTGTTTTACTGGTAATGAAGTGATTTGTGATGTTAGCTACAAATGCACTTGCTGAAAGTTGTTTACCAATGACAGGGTTTCGATGGGCAGAAGTTCTAGTAGCTCTGTAATTTTCCTTTTATTATATTAGTTGCACTTTTGGTAATATGTACATCATTAATTTTCAACTACTTTTACAACTACATTTTTTAAGAAATGTTTATTGTAAAGCAGAGTCTCTTCTATTCACAAGTGCTTTTAGAACAGAAAATACAAAAATATGCCATTCAACAGAATGATGTATTGCATCATCCTAGGTATCCAGTGTCTTCAGGTGATAAATTCCGAAAAGTAGCTTTTACTTTGTGCTTACAACAATATAGAAATAAGAAAAGAAGTCCAAGAAATATAGATTGAAAGAGAAGAGGAAAAAAAAACAACTAATGAGTATTTTTTTTTCATTTTTGTCTCAAGTTAAATATCTGTTTATAAAGCACTAAATAGACTTTTTTTATAGATAATCTGAAAGTCTTAAGCAAATCCTTAGAACTTAATTTTTTTTAGGCTAGGGAGGAGTAATATTACTGATTTTTAGATTAAATATTTTCACCTTGTTGAACTTGAATTTTTGTAATGTAAATTGAATATAGAAGTATCATCTAGCATGTTCCACTATATGTTTATTTCTCTCCTGTTTATTTGTTTAAAAGTTATAACATTTTTAAAGATTATTTATGTACATTTTAATATTTACTTTGCAATATTTCAAAAATATTTTCTTTTTTTTTTCTTTCTTTTTTTTTTTTTTTCTTTTTCCAGATGCAGTAGTTGGGTCTACTAAGAGTAATACAATTTGTCCTGGTAAGTTTTAACTCACCTTGTCCTCTGAAACTTGTTTCACGCACTGGTGATATTACTTTTTTTTAAGTTAAGATGTCCATATTTTTTCTTTTGAAATACCTTGTATTAGCACAGATGCAGGTGTCTTGCTTCATTTTAAAAGTCAGGAAGTTGGAATAGTAACGTTTTCATCTCCCTCAGCTTCACTGGGTTTTATGCTTTTATATTTTTAGATTCTGTTAGGTTGCTAATTGGGATTATTGTTAACATTAATTATTATACAGTAAGTTAAGACATAGCTGAGCCTTTGTTTAAAACACTGAAAAAAAAAAAAGCACCTGCAAGGTGAATGCTAATTAGGTGTATAAAGGTGACGAAATCTGGGATTTCTTCTTTTAACACACACTGTTACTTTGGATAGCTGCAGCTGGCAAGTCCCTGATACTGGAGGAAAGCCCAGTAGCAGCTCAGGAGGCTGGGGTGGCCGTCAAGGCACTTCTTGTTAGTTTTTGTTTTGGGGGCAAGAGGCTGCTTCCTTCTGGCAGCTTGTCCAGCTTCTTAAAGCAGCTCTGTAGGCAGATAAAATGATGTCAGGAACCACAGTGACAACCAAGCTTTGGGACAATTTGGTACATGACCTTTTACTTCTCTCTTTTCCCTTTCTCTTTCTTTCTTTAATCAAAACATGTATTTTTTCATAGATAATTATCAAACGGCACAACTACTTGCCTTAATTTTGGAGCTGCTCACTTTCTGTGTGGAACATCACACATATCACATCAAAAATTATATTATGAACAAAGATTTGTTAAGAAGAGTATTGGTTTTGATGAATTCAAAACACACCTTTTTGGCCCTGTGTGAGTATGGAACTGCTGTTTATTTCCATTTTCAAAGAGTTTGTATGTGCAGTGGGGAATGTGTGTGTGGATACATGCGCATGCTTTAAACCAAAAATTCATGCTACTTCCCTGTTAGTTAGTTTTCTAGTATTTTGAAATAAAGGTGGCAAAGACCTGTTAGCCTAGACTAGTGCAACTTGTGGTTATATCCCTGCAATTCCATAATGATCCATTGAGTCTTTATGATAATAAGAGTTATCTGAGTTTGGTATCAGTTTACCTTTATTTGGGAAAACTGTTGTTTCTCCATAACAACTAGTGCTCTTTGGGGAGAGTGAGTAGGATTTTGTGAACCATGGTACTCAGGGAATAGTGACTGGTTCTGGAAGGAGAGCATGGGAGTGAACTTGGCTGGCATAATGTAAAAGGAATAAATAACTGCGTGTGCTGAAGTTTCTTGCTGTTGTGCTTCAAAAAGATCCGAGTGGATTCTGATCACATTCAAATGGGGGGGGAATAAAGATAAATTCTCAAATGTTTATTTTGAACGATCAGAAAATAATTTTTAGTGCTCTTGGTTTGTAAGCACATTTTCCTCTTAGTAACATCAGTTTGCCTTTTTCATATTCTCTGCTAGAGAAGCACACTGGAGCCCAGAAGAATAGCTAATAAGTAATAATAATTATAAATACTTTTGAACTTCTTTCTTCGTATAGGTGCTCTTCGCTTTATGAGGAGGATAATTGGCCTAAAAGATGAATTTTATAACCGTTATATCACCAAGGGAAATTTGTTTGAACCAGTTATAAATGCTCTTTTGGATAATGGAACTAGGTACAATCTGCTCAACTCTGCTGTGATTGAACTATTTGAATTCATCAGAGTGGTAAGTTAAGCAGTAGCTTCATGTGTCTTAGGTAGAAATGGAGAATGCAAATATTTCACATGAAATAGTGCATTGCTACTTAAAAGCACAAAACAACAAGAAAGTAGATGTTTAAAATATTCAAATAGCCAGTAATTTGCTTCGTATTTTATATGCTTATTCCTTCCAAGAATACTTGTAGGCTATATATATGTGTGTGTATGTGTGTGTGCATGTGTATAAGAGACAGTACATGAATTCAGTAATAGCAGCTAAAAATATAGCTGCTGCTGCTTCATCTCCTCTGGAAAAAAAAACCCACGTGAGCTGTGTATTGAAATTTGGAGTATTCAAGACTTCCAACAATAAAGAAAGATTAATTTTTATTTCCTTCTGGCAGAAGGATGCAGTCACTCAGCTCTCTGTTGTAGCAGATGCTATCCATTGAAAGAATGGAAACTGTTAATAGTGCATAGGAATTTTTTTCTTTAAGTTAACCCTTCCCCTCATAAAATGAAATTATTCTAATATGGCTTTTTGTGATGAGGAGAGGTGTTCACATAGCTGCAGTGTCATGAGAGGAGGTGGGGGCGCATGGCTCCATTCGGGCTGTCGCGTTCCTGCCCTTTGGTCTGTCTGCAGTGTAGACTGTAATCCTTGACTCGGGGGGCCTCAGAGGTGCTCTGTGGCTGCAGCCTGCACGTGAAATTCCTCAGTAATGGCATTCAGTGGCACTGAGCCAAACCTGTGTGTTGTAGGTGGGGTCTAAAAGAGATGGATTTGACTAGAAGTTGGAGCACACTTCATCCTTTAAAACGCTGCACGCGTGCTTGCTCAGTGCCCGCTTGGGATCAGCAGCTTTTCTGCCACAGAGATTTGGGATGGGTGCCCGTGTGCGGGCAGGACGGAGGCAGGGAGGAGCAGCCCTCGGAGGTGCTGCCGCGGGAGAGGCGGCCTTTGCTGCCCCTTCCAGCAACTGCCGAGAGCCCCTGGCCGATCTCGGGGATCCCCCCGAAACACAGGGCAGTCGGTGGTTCGATGCGCTGGTAGCAGCGAGTTTTCCCAACAAGGGAGGGTGGCTGATCATCCCTGTGTGTGGATTAGCTACGGAGGATGAGAAAGAGAGCTAAGCCTTGTGGGGAGAGCAGGGTGCAACTAAACCCTCCTTGTTTTTCTCGAGAAAGCCTGATCCTAGATAGGAAATGTCATGATTCTGATTGCTCAAAATACCACAGACTGGAACGAGACAGGAAAAAGAGAGATGATTTTCCACTTACACAGGAATACTACTGCTATACTTCTATACTACTTCTATAGACTTTTTAATCTCAGATGACTTTATATTTCTTCATAATAATCTTTACATTGGAGAATGAATCAGTTACTTTTAAAATGAAACTATTCTAAAGCTTTTTGAATTTCTGCATGTTAACTGTTTGAGACTGAGAAACTGTTTTGTGCTTATGCAGGAAGATATCAAGTCACTTATTGCACATATAGTTGAAAACTTTTATAATGCACTTGAATCTATCGAATATGTTCAGACATTCAAGGGATTGAAGACAAAATATGAGCAAGAAAAGGATCGACAAAACCAGAAACTGAACAGGTACTCCCCAGTTTGTCTCCTGTGACTTTTATTTAATGTCATTATGTAGTATCTTTACATTGCTGATTCCCAAAGGAGGACAAAATTTGCAAAGCCTGTTTTTTTTTTTTTTTCTCTCTTTCATGATGAAAATTTCTGTAATTGGAGTAACCCCCTATTTGGACTTCGTAGTTGCCAGTGAATTAAACGTTAAATTCAGCGATCCTGTAGCTTGTGAACAGGAGACTCTTGGCCTGCGGCTCGGGCTCCCGCTCCCTCCTGGCCGGCTCGGCGCCGGGGGCGGCCGTGGCCTCGAGCGCCCGCGTGCCGGGGCCAGGGCTGTTCCGGCTGCGAGCAGCGCTCGAGTCACCTGTCGTGTGTTTCTTACAGTGTCCCATCTATATTGCGTAGCAATAGATTTCGCAGAGATGCCAGAGCCTTAGAGGAAGATGAAGAAATGTGGTTCAATGAAGATGAAGAGGAAGAAGGTGAAGCTGTTGTACCTCCAGTTGAAAAATCAAAACCAGAGGATGATTTTCCAGATAGCTATGAAAAATTTATGGATACTAAGAAAGGTACTTACCAAATACTGGCTTGTCAGTATGGCACATGCTATCTGTCAGGTCTTTGCATGGTGCATGACACTGTGTCGTGTTCCCACTGCAAATCATAAGCAGGAGGCGATGTGTTCTCCATGTGCCTTTGGAAGCCAGCGTAGGATTAAAACGATGGGTTGGGTTGTTCCTAACACGCTGGTAGCTTAAATGACCTGCAGAAATAAGCCCTTCCATGCACTTGTGCAGCCCAAGCAAGCGGCGCCCCGCTGTGTGAATGCCTGATGCAGGCCTTGAGCGAGCTCCCCAGGCGAGCCCTTGACTTAGAGCAAAAGCAGCAGCAGCTGCGCTTGCAATTATGTTATGATGTGGATTGTGCTTTCTGATGTACAACTAATACTTAAGCATGAATATGTTTGTCCCTTAGCTAAAGAGAGTGAAGACAAAGAGAATCTTCCAAAAAGGACTTCCGCTGGGGGATTCAAATTCACTTTTTCCCACTCTGCCAGCGCAGCTAATGGTGCAAACAGTGCGAACAGCAAATCTGTGGCAGCTCAGACGTCACCAGCGAGCTCCAACGGCTCCTCTTCCAAGAACGCCACCCTGCCCACGGCCGTGGCGGCCGCCAAGGTGGGCGCGTGGCGGAGCGGGGCCGTAGCGGCGGCGCCAGCCCATGCCAGCGCCGTGGGGCACGGGCAGCGTCAGGCCCTCGGCAGATACCTCGCGTGGGAAGAAGCTCGTACAGAGCTCGGTTCAGTTAAAGCCCTTGCTGTTTTGGGGGAGGTTTGAAGACGTGCTAGGTAGGACTAGGATCCTCTGATCACCGAGTTGGGCGCAGTCTTGCTTCCACGCCTCAGCTTTGTTTAACTGCCCGGTTGCTGCGTTCTGTGTGTGATGTGCAGGCAGACATTGGAGGGATTGGTTTTTTATTTTCTGGATTAGTGGACCCACAGTTACCAAAGTAGTTAGTATTTAATCAGAAAGCTAATTGGTACTTTCGTGTTATACAATAGTGTTTTAGTTTAATCTGTAGCCTGAAAACTCGTGAGAGGTTAAGTGTAAGTATTTTAACTTTGTGGAAATTTACTGCAGAAACTTAAGGCTTCACAGCAGAATGCGCAAGCACTGGGCACACTAGGTTTTCCAGCTAACCCATTGGAAGGGCCTGGAGCTTCTGCCATGTTTCATAGTAAGGTCATTGGAAATGGGTTCAAGCATCTCATGCCTTACCTGGAAAATAGTGAGAGTATAAAAAGATGAAGCAAAATATTTCTAAAAGCTACCTGTAGGCTTGAATGTTGTCCTGAGAGAGACTTGATGTTTCTCAGGTTCATGTCCTGCACAAGTTGATTGTCGGTATTGTACGGAAATTGAATATTTCAAGGTATATTTTTCAACATTAGACTTTTTTTTTTAAATTGGCAGGGAAGTCTGGTTGGCCTAGTGGATTATCCTGATGATGAAGATGATGATGAAGAGGAGGAGACATCTCCAAGGAAAAGACCTCGTCTGGGTTCATAAAAGAAACCAAAACTTTGGAATAAACTTTTATTATGGGGTTTCAAATGCTGCAACTGTTAAGAGCTAAAAAGAACCTGATTCAGAAAGCTTTTTCCCACGAGTATTTAAGATAATACAAGGAGTAGCAAAAGAAACTCAGTATATCAACTAGAAAGGGTTAGTTCTGTAAACACAAGGCTTCCAAGAACTTGATATCTTTCTAGTAAATAAGGAGTCTGCCATTCAGGCTGTCAAAATAAATTTTTAAAATTTAAAAAAAAGGTTGGGGGGGGATAGTATTCAGAACCTGGATGATGGCTTCTCAGCAATCGAAAGTCTCAGGTGTTGGGAGGGCGTAGGGAGGGCAAGGTATGGTAAACAGTTTTTTAAATATTGCAGGGTTTCCCCAGTGTTTAACAGAACTAGGAAAAAATGTCAAGCTTAAATTTTGAACCCAGTAATCTTAATTTTGTAATGGTGCTGTCGGTTGTGTTCTTTTAGCAACGCCTCTTTTAAAAAATTTTTAAGGGAAAACTCATTGTATTTGCATAAGAACAATCCAGATTTGGGGACCATTATTACAAATTAAACCACGTTTCTCATGGTTGGAGGGAGGAATGCTGCAGTTACAGTGCATGTTGCATTGTTTAAAGCAATTAAAAATGACTTTTAATTTGTATTTCTCAAGAGGAGAGAGAGAGAGAGAGAGGAAGCTGGATTCAAAACGGACAGCTTTGTTTACTCATTTAGACATCCAATAATATCTATGCCAAGGAACGATAACATCCAAAATACCTCTAGGAACTGCTGGTATCCAACTCGTGCTTTGAACTGCACGCCCGTACAGCCGTCACATCCATTTTATGGGTGATGCAGAATTGAATTATTTTCTGCTTTGTTACATTGAGCTGTCTCCTCTCTGAGCAGCAAGCGTGTTTTCATATTTGCAAGTTGGCATTGTGCAACTGAGGTGGTAATAAGAAACACTAACAGGTTTTTCTTAGGGATGAATTTAGTGGCATTTAACACCAAAGTCATTTTGGACCAAGATGGAATTACTACTAACAAGACACCAGTCTTTGAGGCAGAATCAACAAGCAGTACCTGAATCTGGGTGTAACATGAAAGCTGCTTTTTTTTTAAAAATGAAAGCACATTCCATGTAGGTAAGCAAATGGCAACAAAAATAGGTGAAGTGATAGAGGCAAACAGTCTAGGTTTTATTTTCAAAAGCAGCGAGTGAACTGTAAATATTTTAATGTTAGTTTGCCCATATGTGATCTGAGATCATGAAGTGAGAGGAAATTTCCCAACAACAATTAATGTGTCAGAAATGTCAAAATATGAAACCAGCTGCAATCCACCACATAGATCACTCTCTTGTAATATGTGTTATGGGTCCATTTCTCCTGGAATAGTTTAAACTGAAGCAGTTTCTCTGTTTTGGAGATTTTTGTAGTTAATTTTAATTTTAGCTATTGTTTGGAAAAAGATGGGCTGTCTGTGTAGATATGAAGTATAGTTTTTCCATAAAACAGAAGTTTATTTTGTATTAAAAATACCACTGTACTTGTTTTACACCATTTGTATACATGTGGTGATATTAATGCTGAACTGTAAAATTCAGGAATTAAAATGTGACCCTGTAATTCCATAATTACTGCTCTTGCTTGGTTTGTTGCACATAGTAAGTTAACGCATAATTTTTAAGCGTGGCCGTTTATTGAATATTCTTCACAGCTTCCGAAGTCCACGCAGTTTTAAAGCAATGATATCCAATTAGATCCAAAGCCCAGCAGAACGAGGGAGTTGCTCCCAGCTAGCCAGGCATTCCGAGGATGAGAGCTCATGGGAGAGGACCTGGGAAAAGTGATGTTGCCTGTTGTGGGCTCCAGGCAGCTGGGAATGGGACTCCTTATTTTATCCGTGTGATGAAAAGAGCCTGTGAGCTGCAGGTGCAGAGGTGAGGAGGTGTTTGCTGGTGAAGCCCACGCGGCGCCGCGTGTGCTACCGGAGCGGCTCCAAGCGAAGCAGCGCGCGCCTTGGCGACGCGAGGCTGAAAAATCCTGTTAGCCGGGCTGTGCACCTTGGTTCTCCCAGCTCTCCCTCTAGAGCTACCCAAAAGAAGTTCCCTGAGAGTCTCTGACAGAAGAGTTTTCCCCCTGCCTGCCACGATCCCCAAATCTTTGCTGAAAAACAAGAATGTCATGGGGGTTTTTTGTAGTTACTGGAAAAGGATTGTATGAGGTGCCATTAGATGTCAGGCTGAACTTTTTTGTTTCTATTTTTTTTAATCTGTGTAGCAGGAGACACACGCAGCTCTCGCTAGCCAATACAGGGGTTGCTGCCTCTGTTGGGCCCCCGAGGCAGCATCTCCCCCCGGGCTGGTTGGTGTTGCCGGGCTCTGCGTGTGGCAGCCCACGTATCCGGGCTCCTTCCACCACCCACATTTTTAGAAAAGATCCCAACATCTGCCAACGTGTATCAGTTAAAAATGCTATTTTAATAAAAAGTTACACGAAACTTGAATCACTTGGGTCGTTTCCTTTATTTTATGTTGCTATTACAATCACCTACGTGATGAGGTTGTGCAAATTACAGGCTCTGCTTTTTATGTCTGAGCTGAACCCTAGTGAATTAGAGTTTTTGTTGTTTTTTTTAAGACCGGCTTTGGAACTTTTAAATTGCTGTTGTGATGTTTATAGTTTTTCCTCTGTAACCGAAGCAATTGTTTCTTTCTATTCACAAGTTGCATTCATAGCAAGTTAGGCCTAAGGCACTGGTAAACTGCCCCAAACACATAAAATAGTGTAATACTGAGTTACTGTCTAAAAGTTTTGTCTCCTGGCTTCAAGACGCATTTATTGTTTCTTAGAAAGACGGTTGCTGCATCACTTTTTTGTGAAATTACTTTATTGCATTTCACAGCAGAAAAGTCATTTGCTTATAATGACATTCTAATAAAAGGAAAAGAACAAAGTTTCATATTTGGAAAAAATATTCAAAATGATTCACATTCCTAGATATTTTAACAATTATTTTTAACTAATTATTCAGTAATTAATCAGTATATGATTTTGTCCTACTTAATATGATATGGCTGAGGCCAGTAGTTGACAGACCTGCATGCTGAGGTGACGTTAAAGGGCCTCACTCTGAGTACATTCCAGCAAAAGTCGACAAGTCCCCAACATTCTGGGGAGTATACATGTTTTTGGTGTATTTCAATTTAATTTCAAATATTCAAGGAGATGAGCTATTTATGTGAAAGCTCTAAAAAATTAAGTGTGATTATATCTGAATACAAATCCATCCAAGTACTGTTAGATAATTTATTCTAAAAGAAGCTGTTCGTGTTGTTAAGTTCCACCATAAGCGACCTTCTTAACTTCACCGCTTATTAATCACTTCTTCTTTCAGTTTTTCTGCAAGCATTTTCCTTTTCTGTAGTAATCTTTGTTTCTCTTCTGACATTGTCTACAAACAAAAAAATGGAAAAAAAAATACACTAGTAAACTGCATGGCTTTTTGGTACGTATCCTGGCTTTTAATGCTCAAGGCTAATTAAACAGGTACGAGCCAAATCGAGTAGCTGAGAGGAAATTTCCTCCGGGTCAAGGACCAGCTGAGCGACTTCCCTTGCAGCAGCCCCTGCGGAGGTGGCAGCTGCCCAACCCGCTGTCCCGCAGTGCCACGGGACACTGGGGCCCTGCCAGAGCTCCCCGTTAGCCCAGGTTTGCAAAAGGTGCTGGAAGGCAGCGGGACGGACAGAAGGGAAGGAAGGGGCTGCCCAGGGGTTCAGTGTTCACCCTTCCTCTACAATCATTGTAAATGTTGCATAAAAAAAGACACGGTCCACTTGTCGCTTTTCCCCTGCTAAAATAGTCAGTAGAAATACTTAAATGTTCACTGAAGCTAATTGTGCCTTTTATAAAGCAGTCAGGATGATTACAATTTTTCAAATTTTCACCTCTTTTGGAGATAACGCCTCTTCTTTCTGGTCGGTACTTGCTGGTAACAATACATTAGTTCTCGACTCTTTCTTCGTAGCCATCAGCATATCTCTTTTTTTCTTTAAGTAGTCCTCGCGTTGCCTCAGGTGCTGTTCTTCAAGTTCTGATAAATTCTTTTTTTTTTTTTTTTAAATACCAAAAGTTAATTTTGAAATTACGTGTATTATTACCTATGTGTGCATTTGAGATAAAAATACTTAAAACACTTAACCTCTAAAATTACTATCTGGAAAAAAAAAATATCCAAGTTCCAAGCCATAGCTGTCTACTCAGAAATCTTCACAAGGGCAAAAGCTGAATACTATTGCAACGCTAGGGTGATGCCTCCAAACCTCACATAGATTAACTTACTGAATACCCTAAAACTGTTTTTATGTTGATAATTTGGTTCAATAATAGGAAATGCACGATAGCCCCGTAATAGGAAATACGTTCTCAATGTAATACTGTCTGTGTAGAGTGCGCTCTATGTCTGTTTGGTTCTTTCAAACTTACGGGTCCTTTCAGCCCAGCTTCTCGTGCTGCGTTTTCAGAATGTTTTCCAGGTGCCCTTTTCTTGGTGTCTTCTTTCAGTTTGGCACAGGAAGGTTGAGCCCCGCGCTCTGTTCCTTTCTCTAAGGGCTGCACTGGTTTTAATTCTCTCCTCGAAGGTTTCTGTGATTCCTCTACGAAGCCATTTCACATAGAAACCAATGAAAAAGAGTAAACTTAATGTTTTTTTTCTTTTTAAAATTTCTTTCAATAGCTGGATGTTTCTGGTTTGAAAATGGAACACTTCCAAAATCATGTTTCTCCTCTCTTTGTTGACTAATAAAAGCTCCTTTCAAAAACATTGCTAAAATACTGTCATTGCACTAAAAATGCAATTAACCAATGTTTGACATTAGAGTAAGTGCCTATGGACCTAGAAGTACCTATAATCAGAATGTAGTTGCAAGGGCAGTACTTTACTAGACCGGTTCATATCTAGATTGAACTTTCAATTTCCATCGTGCTCCTCAGGGGCAGCAGCGAGCAGAGCGCAAGGCAGAGGCTGTGGCAGCTCCCGCCACGCACCCTGCTCCAGCTTCCAGCCCCGGAGAAACGGCTCCGCCCGGGCTGGGAGCGGGAAGCGAAGCTCGGGGTCGCTCCGGAGCGCCTGCAGGCTGCCTTGGGCAGGGCTGGAGCCGCTTCCATCCCCTGCGCTCTCTGCCCTTCCCTCAGCTCGGGCAGATGGTGCTGCACCGTGTCCTGCTCACCGGGGACTTTGGTCTTGCACAAACGCTCCCTCTTTGTTGGCAGAAGCGGCACAATTGAAGCAGGCACGGTGACAACTGTGCCGTAACCTCTCTGCAGGTACCAAAGCTAATTTTTCCTTAGGTCTCACTAGACTCCACGGGTGTCTGATGGCATCGCAGCTCCTGAGCAAAAGCCCTTCCCGCCACGGGGCTGTGTGGCAGGGCACGGGGTCCGCAACTTGCTAATGCTTCTCTTGACCAGGCCGAGAGCTGTGCGTGGGCAAGGCAAGCTGCTGCTCCTGTTGTACTTTTATTAAAAATGAAGCAGCTTTGGACTGCTGGGAGAACCCTGAAAATGTCAGTAAAGATACAACAGTACTGACAGTGCAATCTGTATTTTACTGTATACAGTTTCAATAATAATAATATCTGAGCCAATACACGTATTGGGGTGTAGCTAACTGTAACTCTGCAGTGTTGGATTTCACATTCTTGCTGAAACGTTACCTTGAGAAATAACTTGTATGAATGTAAAAGTATTTTCCCTGGACTTTACCAGATCATAGATGGCAAAGGCTGGCCCTGCTGTACCTAGTGCAGCATAAACACCACTCAGTTGTTTTTTAAGTTAAGGCACTTACTTAATACACATTTATTCTTCAATAATGGTGGTTTTTTTCCTAATTCAGAAAGATTTTTTTAAATATATATATCTATATATTTATATAAAATCATGAAAAGGTGGAAGAGCAAAGAAGAAGAAATGGTATTCAAAGTATAGAAACCCAACCAAGACAGAAAAGTAGAAAACAGGCCATTTCCATTTCACTGAAGTTTCACATCAAAGTTTTGATGGTTCTTAAATGAAAACAAGGTCTTTTTATATGACAGCCAGAAGTCCTCAGAAGTACTAGGAGAGGACAGAGTTACAACTGCCAGAAAAAAAAATCCTGACACCAAGTTTGTCCTATTAAAAAGCAAAGCATAAACCTGTGCTGCCTGCCAAATACCTGTCCCCCAGTCAACGTGATGCTTAAGGAGAGTTACTTACCAGAGAGCAGTTCTTTGCAATGTGTTGTGTGTATGTGCATTTACACTGGGGCTGTCCATAGAGCAAACACTCAAGCTGGAGATGTTTTTGTCTTAGCAGTACCTGTAGGATATGATCATAGGACCCTCAGTTTCACTTAACCCACGAACCTGAAAAGATACTGAGAAGGGAAGGAAGGTGGACAGTGAACGTACAAATAGACAATACATCTCAAAGAAATATAGTTACTTGTATGTAACCTTTTTTTTTTTCTCCTTTGAGAACTTGTCTATATGTACACTCACGCTGTGGATGACTCGAAGCAACCTGCTTTTCCATGAGGATGCTTCATGCAGAATCTTCTCACAATATCAGTGTCTAGGACCACTCCTGCAGATGCTGCATCCTCCCATTATCCATGTGAAAAGCACCACTTGGTGCAGGCATGGGTAGTGTTCACCAGGAATGCTGCAGAGGGGGTGGTCAGTGTCTCTGGGAAACTGGTTTTGCAATCCCTAAGTTATTCCTAAGGGGCTCACCAACGTAAAATTAAGTTAACTGACATTAGCTTGAAATTCATCACAGAGGAAAACTAAAAGTTCATGAGCTGCTTGGGCAGTTGAAAGATAAAGTGTAGCCCAAGCGAGAGGATGCTGGGGCCAGAGGAGGATTTCCTCCCCTGGCTCTGAGGAGCTCCTGTCTCGTGCAAGGGCCGCGTTGCCCAGAGAGCCCAGACTGTGGGCTTGGGCCTGCTCCCTGCTCCCCGGCAGCGAGAAACGCGCGTCCAGGCTCCGCGGGCCGGGGGGGCCGCGAGGAGCAGCGACGCATCAGGACCGGAGCGGAAGGCAGGCACTCTGCTGGCGCAGAGGGACACGAGCTCTCCGGGGGTCCAGTCCTTTCCCAGCACTGACTCTGGCACCCTGAGGAAGCCATTCCAACAGAGGAGATGATCCCACTCTGAGACACAAAGTTTTTGTTGGGAGCCCATGAAGCAGGTAATAACAGACCCTTCTGGAGGCAATTCTTCAATTCTGGATGACAGAAGATTCTGAAACAAGAACACTTCCAGGAGAGATTCTTCTTGATTTTTTGCCTTCTCCCTCCAAACGACTTTTCTAAAGGGTGGTAATAGAGGGTAAGCTCTGACAAACTTTCTCAGAAACCTCTCTGGACAGGTGTGATGCCAGTCCCACACTGCTGAAGACGACTTAAAAGGTGCTAAGCTGCTTGTAGACCTATCTTCTATTTGGCATCTGAAGAACATCAAGAATCCTCAGCACCAGCACGAGTGGGCACTTAGCACAGAGGAAAGGCTGCACTCAGTGCCTGCAAGTCTCGGCTCCCAAGCTCCAAGATCTCCTGCCTCTTGAGCAGAGGGCTAAGTCCTGCACACAGAATACCTGCTAGGAACACCTGCCTTCTGAAACAGAAAACCAGCCACTACGGGAGAGGCAGAGGTGGCACGACTACACAAAAATAAGGGAAATACAAGCGGGCTAGGCAGGAAAAGAAGAAAAGTATCTATGTACACCTGCAGCCAAAGCTAAGAAGCCCTCTGTATACTTCTGAGGGTGAAAGGGAGAGGAGAAGAATTCAAAGGAAACTAACAGAACTTCAGAAGAAAAGAAAGATACTTAAAAGGTCAGTGGCTTTTTTGTTGGTGGTGGGTTTTTTTTCCCTCTAATGTGAAAGACAGTAACTCAGTTTAAAGAAACAGAGGGTCCTAAGACACTTCACCCATTGACGGCCATTGAATGGGAGCAAGTACATTCCACAGGTACCGCTAAGGCGAAAAGTATCCAGCTCAAGGCTTTGTGGTATGAACGATTTCAGTGTGAATGCATACAAAGACAAGTAGTAGAATCAGGAAAATAAACTGAAGAAAGTACAGGCTGTTATTTTCCATCATTTGAGTTCTATTATTGTAAATTATCTCAGAATGTTAAGTTATTTTTTCATGAGCTCATAAAAAGAACAGATACCAGTGATACAGCACTTCTTTCTGATGACTGTATTTATACATACCCATATATACACATACACACATGTATGTATGTGTGCATATATATATATATATACACACACACACACACAAATATATATACACTCATATTATCTAAGAAGTTCCCAAATGTGTTGGAAAAATCAGCCTTCTTTGTGCTTTAACTGGAGCACAAATATATCAAGAAAGAAAGAGCACCTCTTTCCCAGCTAATAGTTTTTCCTCACTGTAAAAGCACTGGCTTGGTCATTACCTTTGCTAAAGTCATCTACAAAATAATTCAGACAATTTTCACTGCAAAACTTGGGTAAAGTGAAAGTTAAGAAAGTTCCACTTGCTAGTATACTATTTTGTTAAGTGTTACAATTGTATTCAAAAACAAAAATGCAACAAATCCAAAGTGAAACTACGAAGCAGATTCAGTTTGGTAGTCTGACCAATAGGCATGAGTGAATCTTAAAAGTTTATGGCTGGTTCTCTCAAAAATATTTTATTACCATCAAAAAATGTTGTACAAGTATCAGTTAAACCTATCATGGCCACACAGGTACAGAAATCATAACTTATTAAATATTTACTACCTGGGAAAACATTGTTCTTTGCGATAACAATGGCATATGCACCTAAAATGAAAGACGAAAATTGCTCTTAGACTCCCTTGTTTGCTCCTATAGTTTGAGATGGTTTATAAATGTTACTGAATCCTAAAAATACTCATATTGGAAGGGACTTCTGAGGCCATCTAGTGCAGGCACCTCTGGACACTATGTCCAAAGCTAGATGGTTACTCAGAGCCCAGTTTTGAAAATCCTGGTATGAAATTGATTTGTCAGTGATTTGAAAATAATATCATATTGCATACTAGCTACTGCAAAACACTTGGAGAAAATTACCTAAGGAAAACTGTGGAGTTCCTTCAAAAGCAACAGCTCCCTCAGTGGACTCCTTAACTTTTACAGCTTCTCTGGTATCTCCTGGCAAACTGTTTGGAACATCTGATTTACATTTATCATGTGCCTTAAAACAAAAAGCAAACAAAAGCAAACATTACATTTCCTAGCACCACACATCAGGCATTAAACTGCCAACCCCCGGAAAATTGTCAAAAGAACTTTTAACTAAAGTGGGCTGTTTAAACTATATGCTGTATTGTTACAGCAAAGAAAAGAAAAACCTTTATTTTGCTTTATTAATAGGAATGCTCATATTGGTTTATAGTCATAAATTACCCCTTTTTAGTTCAAAACCTCTAATCAACAGCCAGAATTTAGAACATTAGGTAAACTGGTGTTTTTTTTCTGAACTACAAATAGAACTTTTGAGTGCTTGTGTATCATGCTTTACATGTGACGTCCTGCAGGGGTCAGTCCTGCTTAAGTAAATTTAAACACCACTTTCCACGTGCTCTTTGCTACAGTTTCCTTTAGACAAAAAGAACAAAAAATTAAGAACTCCACCTTTGATCAAATAACACATAAGTACAAAGGTGAGCTTTGTCTCTAAGAAATAACGCAGTGAGACTCATGTTTTCTAATAATGAAGGATGCATTAGCCTGCTTCCCAAATTACTACGAAGCTTATCTTATAAAGCAGCGGTAGCTAAAATGAAATGTTGTTAGCCCTGAAGGATAAACTGAAGTATTACAGCACTGTGCACATCCATATGCACATATATGCCAAGAATACAGTGACTGGCCTGAAACAAATGAGCAGGGAAAAAACAGTAAACAAAAGTAACTACTCAGCCATGTATGTATAGGGACACTGTCTCGCACACGCATGTTTTCTAATCTGTTCTGTCAATTAAGGTTTTAAGAACATTAATGAGCCACTTAAGAACTTAAGTGGCTCAAGAGTGTTTGTATAGGACATAGTACAATAAACCCTTAAAATGTGGGGGGCCGTTGAAGGTATTGATTGGTGCTACTCTAGTCTGGTGTGAAATGCTAGAATATTGATATTTCTGGCTGGATATCCTTCTTCTACAGGATGCAGAATGAGACATTTCATTTGGAGGAATGTCCCAACTTGTTTGGGACTTGCACTCAACAGCATAGCAGCCTTCGGCACTCATTATGGCTTTGAATTCGGGAGCAGGACTTGAAATGCATTAACTGCCTCTGTGACAGTTAGGTTTGGTAGCCAGGCGGTTTCCTCTGTTCAGGCTGAAGAAACAGAGAATACTTTCTCTTTTCCAATGTACCAGACTCAATTTCTTAATGGGAAAAAAATCTAGAAAAGCAACCGTACTCCCTCTTCTGAAACAACCTATATCTCAGCTATTTTTGTGTGTTTTCCTGGTGAAGAAGAGCTTCACTGCCACGTTTCCACTGGTCCACTGGCTATATTACTGCTTCCTTGAAGAAGCCTTGCTTAACAGATTTGCTTCTTAGTTGTTTACCCATTGGCAATTACTAGTTGTTTACCCTACATTCAGTTCCTTTTCTACAGAGTTTACTGGAGACCAAGAGACATTCTAATTCGGAGATTTCTAGTTCCCGGTGATTAGATTCTTGCAGCATTGTGCAGAAATAACGAGTAACTAAACTGTCTGTGAAGTGAACCTTAAAATTCCTGAAGGAATATGAATGCTATCATCTCTAAGAAGCTTATACTTTGAAGTCTCTCTGATCTTGACAATATTGCTAATTCAGATGTTCTCTGGATCTCAAAGGTTGACATCCATTGCCAGGATTTTAGCATTCTGACACTGAAGAGGGACCATGCTGCCCGTATGAGCTCCACCAGATCACTAAAGGTTAAATGTATCATGTACAACACTAATGTCAGTGGCACCATGAATAGAAATGTTAACAACAGAGCAGACTTTTCAAAAAGAAAAGTCAGCAGGACCCTCCTGACAGATTTTTTATTTGTTTTGGATAGTACATACAGAATATTACATATTGCCTTAAAGTGATATAGATGACATAGGAGACAAAAGTACCAAAGTATTTCTTAATCATCAGCATAATTCATCTGGCTAAATAATCTACTGACCTCTTTGGTCCTCCTCCTTTCTTGCTCTAATTCATATTCTTCCTTAGACTTCCTGTAACACAAAATACAGGTAAACTCCAGTATCAGTAAATATAAATTTTGCATTGCTTAAATATTTGAGGACTGTCAAGATAGTCTGAATATAATGTAAATATAATGTAGATTTCTTAAAGTCTTCAAAATACTTTCATTACTTAAATGAAAAAACATCTTAATAGAAATAAGTAACTATGATAAACCTACACACTGAAAACTATGGGTACTAATTTGCCCTGTGCTAAAATAACTGTATAAGAATTTATAGAATATCTATCTTGTTTCATTTGCTGCTTTAAAAATCGGAAGGAAAGTGTTTGCAGAATACAGGAGAAAAATAGCATAATTTAAAAAAAATAGCAAATTGATCAATTTTTTTAAGGATTGTTAATGTCCGCGTGAACTGGAAGAGAATCTTTCTGTATCAGTCCTCACCCACCCCAGGTTATATCAAGAGTCATTGTACACAGTTAGAAAGAAGCTGTGGGAAAGAATAAAGCAGAGTAAAAAAGCAGAATTTGCCTTTTCGAGGCTTTAAGGGACACAGAGCAGGGCACAGTATTCTAGTGGTGCTAAGGAGTAATAAAGCTGCTTTAAGCAGACATACAGTGTTGATCCTATCTCTCCAGCTCTGCGTTTAGGGTGTCCCCAGAAGTAGGGATTTACAGCTAACATTCCCCTATTGTCGAGAGTCCCTGCAGGTCTACAACCTAGGTCTAATTTTTGATTAACTTGGGATTTAGGGGAGAAGAGAAATGACAGGGCTTGGAAAAATGATGCACCATTGTATGTGTGTGTCACAAAGACAGTGCAAGTTCAGCGTGATGGAGTCATTATCCCCGTGTCTTTAACTGTTCCTGATCAAACACTCATCTCTAGTGCCATTCATTTTCTCTCAAGAACATTCATGTCACCCGAAGATGAGGAAAGTTGGCTAAATAAAAGTTTTTTCTATAGAATCTCTGTATACTTTTCTCTATTAAAAAAAGCGTATGAGGTAGGCCCAATTCAATTTTACCTTAAAACTTCCCTGAGGATTTTCATTTCTTGTTGTTCAATTTCACTGAATACGTCAGAACCATCTGTCAAACAGTCAGGCAACACACCTATCAAAAATCAGGACAAAAATTTATGCATTACTTTATAAAAACATTATTTTGTATTCCATTTGATACCATTCTTCAGCCAGGAGTGAGAAAGAAAAGCTCCATTTAATTCTTCATCTCCACAGCTGTTTCCAGAAGGGCGTTTATCACACTGTATCTTGCAATGTGTATTGCAAGATAAACACAGCAGATAGTGTGGAGCCTGCACTATATAAAGCAGTGATATAATTACTTTAACACTCTCCCAATTATCAACAAAAATTCCTTTAGCAGAAAATTAAAGACAAATTTCACAGAATAACTTTTCAGCTCTATTCTTCTATTTATTAGAGAGGAATACAGACAGCAGCGGCTGAGAAAAAAACACAAGGACGAAGTATTGAAACTCTGGTCCCACTAAAATCAACTGATTTTTTTTATTTATTTCCACTGGTACTGGACTAGAAATCAACACTTATTGTTTATGAATGCATCAAGCACTCATCAAAACACAAACAAAGACAAAATTAAATTGCCCATTTATCATTTCTTACCATTTCTTTCTTTAATGATTCTAATAGCTTGCAATTGCATTTCAATATTTTTCTGGACCATCATTTCTTTAAATAGTCTGAAATCTTCTGCTGCCAACACTGTTTGCAAAATGGCCTGCAGCAGGGAAAATAATCACAAATTCATTAAATATCTTACAGAAATCTCAATAATTTCAGTCTGCCTGAAATTATCTTAAGATCTAAATTCTGTTGAAGATATGTTCACAGCAGTTAAGATTTAATGCTCCTATTTGTCTAATTTTTAAGTTATATATTGCTTACATATAGTTACATGTTATATATTATATAACTTAGCTAACTACATCATAAATTAGTTGTATAAATTAAGCTAACAAAACAAATACTGAGTTCTTTTCTTGCCAGGTTCTTGAGTCATCATGGCTACAATAATATCATCACAAAACCTGGCCAGTTTTACTACTGCAATTCCTTTGACTTACTAAACAAAAACAGCAAGTTTGACTGAGGGATACACACTGAAGGATCTTGTTATGCATTTAGGAGAGGGTATGTAAACAGAGCATGACTTTGGCAGCAGAAGCGCCCACTCCTCTCCCCAGTAAACCAGAGACATGAAACCTAGAATTCTGTCTTGTCTTCTCAAGGCCAATTTTTGTTTTGCAGATTTTACCATCTTATTACAAAACTAGAGAAAAATATCAGCTTTTGCCTTTAATGAATATATCTATCGCTTCAACCTTTAAGTTTGTCTCCTATCATAAATGGGTAGAAGACTAAGGAAAAGCTGACACATATGCAACTAAAGGTGGCTGACATCCTAAACTTTGGGGTTTGTTTCAGGAAAACAAAAACACAAACCTAACACAGAAGACAAAGCTCTGATAAAAAGTTTCTGACACCTAACAAATATCTGTCATTAGCTTAAAGATACAATGTTGCCGGTCATATTTCACTGTATGAACAAATACTTTAACTCAGGTTTTAGAAACCTGCATTAGAACTTAAAGTTTCTAAACTATTTCTATTCTAAAATCTAAAGTTCCTAAATATTTCAAACACTTATCTCAGCCCTGCTATATTAACAACAACAACAAAGTCCATATATTTCTTAAGAGTGAAAAACATACCTGTGAAGTGTGTGTCTTTGCAAGAGGAGACGAAAAAGCTTCTTGAAATTTCTCCTCATTGATTCCAACTTCTTTAAGATAGCCTTCTAGTAATTTTTCAACCTGTAAGAAAGTTTCAATCCTTACCTCCTAATAGGTTTTTCCTTGGAATCATATGATTTTTTTTTCATAATTGTGTATTCTTTTTTGCTGCTCTTTCATTGTCAAACTCACAAGAAAATCACTTGCAGACTGTAACTGATTTTCTGATACTTCAGGCTTAATTTACTTTCATTAACTGTTAAGATTAACATTGATTGTCGTTGCTGAATTTGGTTACTTCTCTATTTAGCTTCTCCAGTTTCCCAGAATCTCACCTCTATGCCTTTTCCCTGGTGTCCTGGCTAGTATTTCATGTTATTTTCTTTCCTCCCACATAATTTCAGTCTGACCCTGACAGGTAACAGGCACACAGAACTAAATGGATGTTGATCTGCATTTTTTTTTTAATTGAACCATTATCGTGCCTTATTGCCAAAAAATATTCTAGAATTCCATGTGCACTGAAGCTAAGAGGTTTATAGGTATTCTAAGAATGCCCCTGAAATAATTTGTAGCTTTTTTCCTAATATTTAAAGGTTGTCTCAAAGATTTATCAGAGTCGGTTATGAACAAAATACAAGGTTTATATGTTTTCTTTCAGTAATAAAGTTGCTGGTCATTTTTAATTTGACAGAAAAACCAAACTTACAGTATTTTAGCTAAAAGATATAGCAATATAAATGAAAAATATGTAACAGCGCTTAGGAAATATGACTATGTTAATAATTCTTTTCTATATCTCTGGCATCGAAACATTAAAAAAAAACATAGGGTGACTATGACTCAAAGGACATCTAAATAAAACTTTTCACAGGTAATGGTGGAAAATTATAGATAACAGATGGATAATTAGAAGTCCATCTAAATAAATACTAATTAAACATTTTTAATTATATTTTTTAGAAGTCTACCAAAATTAGTGATTAATACTCACCAAAGCTTGGTATTCCTGATAAATTTCTGTATAAGACAACTTGCTCTCTTCTTCATCATCAAAAACTTAAAACAAATATTCCTCAATTAGTATTTCAAGTACTAAAATATTAAATACAAACCAGGAAAATTAAATTATTCATTAAAGAGAAATATTAACCTTACTCTGAAAGGCTAAAATATTAACTATACTTTTAAAAGAATGTTTAATTATATGACAGCATAGGGCATGATAAATAATAATAAAATATTCTAGTTTTTACACATTCCAGCTACTTTAATTGTACTTTAGCAATTTAATGTTCTGCTTTAATTAGTGTTCAAGGTTGCAGATTTTTCCTCTTTAAAAAAATAGGAAAAACCTATAGCTCAAAAACTAAAAATCAAATATTTATTTGGTCACAACACATTGTAATTAACTAACAGGAACACCAAAAGAAGCAACAGAAACCGATGATTATTTGGTTAGAAATCTGTTTCAGAATTCAGTAGAAATGTACATAAAAAACTAAGTATTAGTATAAGAAATATCATGTAAACTTGCAGTCCCTCTAAGACTGCTGCTGATACATATAAAGTAGGAACATTTTCTCTACATATACTTAAAGGGAGGGTATTCCTGTTCATTTAACAAGAAGTCAGTGTGATGCAGGCAAAGGCAGCCCTGCCTACATTAAAGAAAGAAAAAAAAAAGTGTAAGTAAATTATTTTTTAAAATCTATCTATCCTGAGTTAGATAAAATGGTTATCTGTATAGTATAGGAGACCATTTATATGGTCATATTAACAACTCCTGACTGGAAATATCAAGCAAATAATCTCAGTATGGTAGAATGGAAGCAACAGAAGAGAAAAAAACAGCTTCATTTTTTTGGAAAGCATAGATTTCCAAAAGCATATTCAAAATTAAATTTCTCATCTGAACAACGAGCAGAGGTAACATAAAACTTAATCATTAAAATGTAGGCTTAGAAGTAAGATATCCTCAATTCCCTTCGAGATTAGCCAACTTGCTATGTTGGAGAAGTCACTTCCCATTTCCATCTTTTAGCAACCTATAGCAATACAACCATGAGAATCTAATGTTTCATTTCTGTATAGGCAAAACATCTCTTATCGAAAAAAAAAAAAAAAAAGGAAGTGGAAATGCTTTTAAAACATTCACCTAGCACATACAAAGGGTAGCAAACATTTGTTCAGCAAACAGGTACTATAAATCTCACCTAACTGCCTCTAATGTCTTCTGCATCTCTCCCCTTCAGGGGATCTCTACTAGAGCTCTCCAGGCCCTAACCTTCTTGGTTTTGTTTCCCTGTTCCCTTCCTTTCCTCCCTGAGCACTCAGAGAAGTGCTGTTGAAGGCTGGCACTCCTCAGTCGCTTCCCAGCCAAGAGCTGGTCTTGCATGGTGGACGGGACATCTCTGAAGTCCTCGTGCTCCTTTCACAGCTGCAGAACATGGAAAGCAAATGCAAAAGCTTGTACCAACTGCTCTCAATTTTCAGTATTTGAGCCAAAAGAGGATGAAAGTAAGTGCCAAAGATAGTTCCAGTCAACACCTCCTGGGATTTAAGTGGTATTATGGAATACTGTGTTTGCATGAGGACTTTGGATTCTTCAGAGTTCGGGATTTCATAACCCTGTGGTCATTCTTTCCTTTTTGTTTTGGTACAGTCTTTTGTCACCCAACAAGGTTCAAAGATCTGGAAGAACATCAAAACAAGGTAATCTAGGGGACCCAAGTATTCCAGAATACAAATGAATTAGTTTCCTACTGAAAATGAGTATTTTTGCTAGGAACTCTCGCACAGAATGAGAGTTAAACTGAGTTGCTAAACTGAGCCACTGACTATCTTAACTCATGGACTATAGCTGATCAGCAAACCAGCATTAACTCTTCTACCTTTTCCCCTCCCTAAAGTGACCACTGAGGAAGTTCTCTGTCTGAAGAGTTAAGAAAATCATAGCCAGTGATATCCATTTTTTATTTGACACCTCGTCTTCATCTTCTGGCACTCGATATTATAATTAAGCTTACCCGAAGTAATGCATTAAAAAAAGAAAGGAAAGCAAATAGCATAGGCAAATATAACTATAACTCCAAATGTCTCTAATATTGCAGTAATACTTTGTCAAACTTTTCTTAAAGAGCTTATTCTCAATTGCTTCTGCAAGTCATCCAAAAACTCTCCACAGCACAGATTGTAACTGACATGATTATTTGCTGTAAGTACTCTATTTTATTCCTGTCATTTCTGAGGTTGAAACAAACTGACAGGAAGACACCCTTACACAGACATGCCTCATACTAAATTCACTGAAGTTCATATATCTCCTACTGCCAGTAAATTCTGTTCAGCTTTCTGGAGAGTTTTCTGACATTACTCTCGTGTAGGATAATCAATTCCTCCGATTCCTAAAATAAGAAGAAGCCAGTCCTAACTTAGACTGTTTGCATAATTATTTTGTCTAAACATGTGATCTTCCAGTTTAGACCTCTCTCCCTAGAGGAAACTACTTCAGATTTCTCTGTTTCTTCCATGCTGTAAAAGTCCAGAATCTTCACCTGTATTTCTCCTCAGCATATAAGGGAAGGGCTTAAATACACACAATGATCTTGCCTTAAAGAGTGGATAGAATGGAATTAATTCAGGTTAACTGAAATTGATTTGTTTAGAACCTGTGGTCTGAATCAGCAGTATGTCTGCTTCACTCTAAACACGAAATAAAAATCCTTAATGGACCTTAACAAGAACTGCAGCACAAGACGGACTGCTCAACTTGGCCCAACCACTATAGAAGGTATCCTAGAGCCCAGGCCAGGATGGATGGGAGAACAGAATAAGTACAAGCTAGTAGAACTAACTATGGTAATAATCATTCTACTTCCGACTTGATGTCTGTAAATCCATTAAAAAATAAGATATTATTTGAAATTCTTTGCTTTTGCTTCCATATCATATCACTCTGCTTAAAACAAGTGTCATCTAGCCTTCAAAAAGGGCAAAAAGATGACCACAGAGCTACAGGCTAGCCAGCCCCACCTCGATCCCTTGAAAGGTGATAGATCAGATAATCCTGGGTACCATTTCCAAGCACGTGAAGGACAAGGTGGTGGTCAGGAGTAGTTAGTATGGATTCACACAAAGAAAAACCTGCTTAACCAATGTGATAGCCTTGTACTTGACGATCTTGAAGGTCTTTTCCAAACATAATGATTCTATGATCCTACAGTAAGGCAACTGGCTTTGTGGATGAGGGAAGAGCAGCAGAAAGTATCCATATTGCCTTGAGTAATGCCATGGAGCACTGCAGGCTTGGGGGCTGACCTGCTGGAGGGCAGTTTTGCAGAAAAGGACCTGGGGGTCCTGGTTGGCTGCTGTGTCCAGTGCTGAGCTTACCAGTGCAAGAGAGACACGGACATTCTGGAGTGAGTCCAAGAAACAGCTACTAAGATGATTAAGGGACTAGAGCATTTCTCATGAAGAAAGGTTGAGAGAACTGGGACTGCTCAGCCTTGAGATGAGGAGACTGATGGGGGATCTTATCAATGCATATATGTATCTGAAGGGAGGGTCTAGAAGAGAGGGACAGACTCTTCGCAGTGGTGCCCACTGGTAGTATGAGAAGCAATGGCTAAAAATGGAAGAACAGAAGGTTCCGTCTAAACACAAGGATAAACTACTTCACTATGAGAGTGACCGAGCATTAGAACAAGCTTCCCAGAGAGGTTTTGGAATATGTATCCTTGAAGATACTCAAAAGCTATCAAGACATGACCTTCTGGACCTTGTCCAGCTCTGGGCTTCCCAGTACAGGAGGGACATGGAAGTGCTGCAGAGAGTCCAACGTAGTGCTACAAAGACAAGTAGAGGACTGAAGCACCTCTCCTAGGAGGAGAGGCTGAGAGCTGGGCCTGTTTAACCTGGAAAAGACTGAGAGACATATTATCAATGCATGCAAATATCTTAAGGGAGGGTGTCAAGAGGATAGGGCCAGATTTTTCTTGGTGCTCAGAGACGCAGGACAAGAGACAACACGTACAAATTGAAATACAGGATCCTCTGAATACAGGGGAAAACTTCTTGACTGAGGGTGACTGAGCACTGGAACACGCTGTCCAGAGAGGTTGTGGAGTCTTTTTTCCCCTTCTCTTGTCCATGCATGTAGACCTACACAGGTCTCCTTAGTACCCTGCATATAGATCTGCAGATCTATCATAGTCCTCCCACACACTACTCATTCTTCCAGTTAAATCTGGGTGCTCCCCCAACTTATTCTACGATTCTGTGAGTTCTTTCTCCTGCTGCGAACCAGGGAAGACAATGCAACTAGAAATGTTTCTGAGCTAAGCTTATGCACAGACCAGCTGGACTACAAAACATAAGCAATAACCATTGACTTCTTACTGCAGACTGCCATTTGTGAGATAAATTCTCATCTCTGCCTAAAAATTTTCATAAAACTGCAGGAATTCCATTTTGGGACATCTACTGTTCTGACACACCGGCCAAACAGCAATTTTAATAACCTTGTTTTGTTAGGAAAGAGATCCTTTAAAATAGCTATGGAAAAGTACTAAAAGTCTCCAAACAGTTTCTAAACACATTGTTATGAAATGAAGCAGAATGAACAATTCATTTGGCATAAGAAGATCACAGTGAAAGTTCAGGCCAAAGTCACTTGCCTGAGCATATGAACTAACGCATGTAAATTACCGCATCTTTAACATCACCTCGAAAGCAACGGAAGCAAATCCACTTCGGCAGGCTTCTCCCCCCCCCCCCCCAAAAAAAAAAAAAAAAAAAAAA